ATTGCGATTACCCCCCCCTTCCCCCCCCCAAGGCTAATTTCCCCAATATCTGGAAGTTTTTTTTCTTTACTGTTTTTTTAAATAAAGTGATCAAATTTATGTGTTATGCCTGAAATCCTTTACACCAAGAATTTCCTAAAAATACAGGAACTACTATTTTATCACTCGCAGTGTTGTCGCTGCATGTTGATTCTCATGCACGAGGAATGTTTATACCGTTCATTTTGACTCTGTGATCAGAATATGAATTTCACAATTCTAGTGAAAATAAGTTGCTGGTCATCCTAAAATATTTTCGTAATAAGTTAAATGATGAATAAAATTAAATTTTGCGTTTATGACATCTTTTAGATCTTGCATATTCCAAATGTCAAAATATTTATATTCGTACGGTAAACGTTACTACGTTCAACAAATGACATTGTAGACATAAATAACGCCATAAACGCAACATTATTTTCAGCAATATAAAAGGAAACTTTGAAATTTTTTAGCGAAAAATCTAGCGAGAAGACATACTGATTTTTTTATATCAATAGTTTTGATTTTACCTCATCTTGACATTTTGAAATTCCTGACTAATTCGTCTACGTCTTTAAAAACTTATCTAACCTTTTTAAAAGAAACTATTTTCACAAAATGGCTTTAAAACGTCATTTTTCCAAAGATTTCAATAGTAAAGCGTAAAAAATGTACTAATAACAATACTGCGTTTATAGTAATATAGCATTAAAACTACGTAGGCAAATTTTATAAAAATTGCAGATAATACGCTGTAAATTCTTAGGAAATTATATCAAATTTTCAGGATATGTTTTCTCGTAAGAATTTTTATGCAGTAAACCCGCGACCTACCTTAAGCTGATATTTGATTTTAAATGATAAAAAAAATTAATTAATGCACACTTAAGATAAAAAAAAATATTAAAGTAAGTAAATACTTTTTCTATATATACAATCTTTGATTGCATACATTATTATACATATATAGGCTTTGTTCTTCAGTAATCATCAGAAATATATGTACATGTATATAAACTGCTACATTTCACTTTCCAGAAAAATACCAATATCTTTGTGACTCGCATATAAGTGGGACATAGAGATTTGGGCTAAAATTTAACTCCCAAAAAAACTGACTTATAGGCGAGTATATACGGTAAATGATTGGTGTATATTTTGGTACCAGTATAAAATTTCTCTTACTTATCTATCACCAGTCCTATGCTGTCCTCAAACTCTTGTTCCGTGCCATTCACCTGTAAAAGATCATTGGGAATCAGCTTTTTGTTAAACTGAAATGTTATAAAGAATGAAAAATTTTGACTCATAACAATTTAACTTGTTATATCAGGTAAGTACATATTTTTTAAAACTATAGGGAATGAAAATATTAAGCATAAATCCATTTTAAGAATATAGAACACTTCAGACCACAGACTTTTGATTCTTTATCAAAATATGGTGTTCATTGATTAAAATGGTATTGGAAGAAATTACAAAATTTAATTGTGGTGTTTGAATAAATTTGTACCAGTCATCAATTTGCCGAATTTTTACACAATTTCTGGTTTAATTTCTGATTACGACATAGACCCTTTTACCTCTAAGAATGCCACAATGCACTTCAGCACTGGTGCTGTCAGTTCCATAGCAATTACTTCTATGGATTTTTTGGGCAACCAGGGAAAGGAAGAACTCACTTTGGCAAATATCTAAAAAAAATAAATAAATAAAATAAATAACATTTGAAAAAATTCAATGCAAATTTTTTTTTGGAGGGGAAAGGGGGGTGGGAAAAGTGGTGTAATAAAAAATTAAACACAAAAATTCAAAATGTAAAATCCAGCTCAAATTTACCTGAGATTCATATTTATATCTGGATTTTGTGGCCAGTTTTCCGTTCTCGATGACAAAGTTGAAGTTGATGAGCATGTTGCTGCTGTAGTTAGACGTGTTGGCCTCAGGATAATTCAGGACTGCTATATTCTTACAAGGGGTGCCCTGGTTTGGTTCTGACTGCTCTCTGAAAACAAGTAATGTCTGGTAGTGTGTATACACAATAACATGTAACATCAAGTTTGGTCACTACAGAGCTTATAATTACTCTGGAAAAATCTGCTCCACAATCATTCACCTGGTCGCTCCAGAAAATAAAGACCAGGTTCTACAGCCAATCTGAAAGTGAGTATTCCTGAATGCTTCATTCATGCACGGTCAAGGTAGGGATTACACAAATTTAAGAAAGAACCTGGTCCAAAGACTTCAACCTGTTCTCTCTTCTGAATCACAAAGGTCAGATCCAGCAGACCAAAGCCAGTTTTGAAATGTGAATCGCTAAATACATCAGCCATGCAAGTTTAATTAGTCACCATATGAATTATAGTTACTTTGGAATGAGACCTGCTTCTAAAACTGTAACAGGTAGTGTATATCCCATGATATTAAGTTAACTATTGTAACTTACTGTTTAGATGATGCCTGCAACTTCTGTTGTAGGAAATCCACCACTTGACTATTTGCTGTCAGTTTCTTCTCCGTAATTTTGTCCTTTTCTATTGATCTCACCTATTCAAAAAGTTTAAGCTTACACCCTTGTTCTTGTAATGTTAATTATAATGAATTGTTCTAAATTGCATGTGCCTATTCACATTTTCATTCACTCCTGAATTCCCCCCATGAATTACCAAAATCTTTTTGTTCATTTAACAACTCAGTTAACATTTTATTGATTTCATTGTATAACAAAGGCAAAAAACACTTGAAATAAAATATAATACTGTGTAAGTAGAATTTTTAGCGAGGATTTAATTTTGGCATTGTTAGCGAGGGTGCTGACATGGCTAAAATTGAATATCGCTAAAAATCAATTGCATATTATTTGTAATAGCTTCTTTTAGTTAGCATTTTAAAATCGCTAAAATTGCTTCTCGCTAAAAATAAAATACCAGATTTTAGTTAGAAATCGCTAAATTTGCGTCTCGCTAAAATTTCCACTTATACGGTACGTTAATATCTGACCTTGATTGTAGTATCCCCCTCCTGCAAGGTGACCATAAAGGCTACTCCATTACTGCGACAGAAGTCCTGTATGTCTTCTTGTGCCTGAAATTAGAAACGTTCCTAGATTTTGTGTCTCATTTTCACTCACAAACTTACGTCCCCATGAACAATAACTTTCTGCAAGGCATCTGTTTATTGAATCTTCTGGATAGTGTACCAACTGTTACTGTAAATGTATTATATTGGGTGTGTATGATATTTGGCGGAAATTCATGTCTCAGCAAGTTAGTGTAGATTTGATTTAGCGCTATCTGAATGTGCTTTATATAAATCTATGATAAACAAGACATTTAGCCATGTACTTGATTTAGCGGATGATGTTTTCCGCTAAAATAGCTAAATAGAATACACTGGTAAATTTAATACATTTACAGTATTTGCAACAGATTTAAATCATGATTCATCATTAAACATTTTGAAATCTTTATGTTTTTTCTTGCATGCTGTCTAGGTAGATTTTACTTTACCTGCATGCTGTCTAAGTAGATTTTACTTTACCTGCATGCTGTCTGGGTAAATTTTACTTTACTTGCATGCTGTCTAAGTAGATTTTACTTTACCTGCATGCTGTCTAAGTAGATTTTACTTTACCTGCATGCTGTCTAAGTAGATTTTACTTTACCTGCATGCTGTCTAGGTAAATTTTACTTTACTTGCATGCTGTCTAAGTAGATTTTACTTTACCTGCATGCTGTCTAAGTAGATTTAACTTTACCTGCATGCTGTCTAAGTAGATTTAACTTTACCTGCATGCTGTCTAAGTAGATTTTACTTTACCTGCATGCTGTCTAGGTAAATTTTACTTTACCTGCATGCTGTCTAAGTAGATTTTACTTTACCTGCATGCTGACTAAGTGGATGTAACTTTACCTGCATGCTGACTAAGTAGATTTTACTTTACCTGCATGCTGTCTAGGTAAATTTTACTTTACTTGCATGCTGTCTAAGTAGATTTTACTTTACCTGCATGCTGACTAAGTTGATGTAACTTTACCTGCATGCTGACTAAGAAGATTTTACTTTACCTGCATGCTGTCTAAGTAGATTTTACTTTACCTGCATGCTGTCTAGGTAAATTTAACTTTACCTGCATGCTGTCTAAGTAGATTTAACTTTACCTGCATGCTGTCTAAGTAGATTTAACTTTACCTGCAAGCTGACTAAGTGGATGTAACTTTACCTGCATGCTGTTTAAGTAGATTTAACTTTACCTGCATGCTATCTATGTAGATTTAACTTTACCTGCATACTGTCTAAGTAGATTTTACTTTACCTGCATGCTGTCTAAGTAGATTTAACTTTACCTGCATGCTATCTAGGTAGATTTCGGCCCTGAGTCCTGCTGCCCACAGATCTCTTACAATGGTCATTCTCTCCTTCAGCATGGGCTTGTGTCCAAAAGTAGTACACACCAAAATGTCATAGGCGCTAGGAGGATTCGTCTGTAAAAATGTAATAAGCATACTTTTTTGTTTACATTTTTAAAATAAGATACTGTTATTTATGGGTTGAATAAACCCCTCACATTTAATCAAAAATAATTTTGAAAAGTTAAACCAACAAGAGGCCCAGGGGCCACAGCGCTCACCTGAGCACATCAGGCTTGAATTTAACCCCCCCCCCCCCCCAGGCATTCATCATTTGAACAAACTAGAATCTACATTACCTGAGGATGATTCCACATAAATATCACTAATCATAGCTTTGAAGTACTTGAAAAGAAGATTTTAATAGGTTTCCCTATATATCCCTTTGTAAAACTTGGGTCGGCCATTTTGGCCCCACCCTAGCCCCGGGGGTCATGATTTGAACAACCTTGAATCTACACTACCTGAGGATGATTCCACATGAGTTCCATCTTTCCTGGCCCATTGATTCTGGAGAAGAAATTTTTAAAGATTTCTCCTATATACAGTACCGACCAGACCCAACCTGACACAAAGCAGTCCCGGGGACTGCTTTCTGGGACTGCGTTAGCAGTCCCACAGCAGACCCACAGCAGTCCCACAGCAGTCCCAGAGCGGTCCCAGCAGTCCCAGCGGTCCCAGAGAGCAGTCCAAGCAGTCCCAGAAAGCAGCCCCAGCAGTCCCAGTGGGCGGGGTTTATTAATTTAATGGGTGGAGCTAACTCAGAAATGAGATTTCCAATAAACAACGGAACTATAAAAGGCAGTAGAAATTGATACTGTGTAGTATGCCAGGAATCCTTACATGTACGCGAAGGTCATTTATGAACAGAACATGTACGCGCATAAAAATTGAAATAATTATTACAAATGTAATAATATTTATTGGAGGAAGAAGGCTTTCACACTTACATATACATATATGAATTACACTGAACATGAATATTTAATCACAATTCTCGGGTATATTAATTAATTCTTCTGTTATTGATACTGGTTCCCATATTTATTTTTTATACAGAAAATTAAACGTGAATTAAATATTTTCCACCAGAAGAAGCTTTAGATCTAAATAGATCTTATCATTATATTGCCAATTTAGACTATCGGGATACTCTAAAGTTAGAGTTTTCTTAAGTATTGGGGCTTGTAAAAAAATTCCGTGTTAATTTTGCCAATTATTATTTTTCAGTCATGATTATTTTTACTGACATGTCAGTTTAATCATCGTTAATGCCTAGTTCTATAAAACTCAGTTTTAAGTGTTTTATTTGTAAATGTTAGAGTGTACATCTGTAAATCACCAGAATGGGAGCTTCAGATTATGTTCAAAATTAATTAATCCCGAAAGAAATTTAAACACATTTCATTCATCAAATTTTTCGCATTAAATAAATTGAAATTAGAGTCATTGTTTACCAGCATGTTCAATGATGTGTAACACTGATACAAATACCCAAATAACATGTATCAATTTTTCTGCCCAGAGGCGATTGAAACAATGGGTGTTGATACCATCTTATAAACATTAATCGGCCAGGTAAAGACTAGCAAAACAAAAAAGAAATAAATCACAATTCCCGGTATTTTCATTTTAAAAAAAATAAATATACATGTACTCTTTTAATAACTTGTTTATTAATTAAAAGCTAGCGGTAATTCATTAATTCCCCAATGATTATTCACATAGTTTATGTTACGGGAGAATAGTAGCATAATTTTAGTTCATGGTCGTTTAATAAATTGTTGGGTTTTATTTGAGGGTTACATGGAATACTCTTTTTTAGCGTGGTCCTTATAAAATGTGTAGCATTTTTAATAAAAAACATTTTATATCTAACTGTAATGATTATTTTTAATTAGTACCAATGCAAATTTTGAGTACATATTAAAATTTAACATTAAATAATTAAAAAAGGCCCACATGTAGCTATTTTTTTTCTCATAAACTTGTAGTTTACTTTTAGGGATAAAAATTTTCTCATGAATTCCTTATTTATCAACCTTATCTTTTTTTTATTTATTCTAAATACACATTAATTTGTGTAAATATACAGTCCCTGAAAATATCAATTAACTGTAATAATCTCTACTTATTAAAAAAATGTAAAAAATTCTTGCTTATTAAACAGTTTAAACTCCTCTCTGCTGCAAGTAAACAAAACAACAGGAAGCCTGCAAATTCAGAATACACAAGGGGGCGGAGCTATCATGTCACTCAGAACCTTTTTCACACATGAGTGAACAAAGCAGTCCCAGAAAGCAGTCCCGGGGGCAGCTGGGACTGCTGGGACTGCTTTTCATAGCAGTCCCAGAGCAGTCCCATAGCGGTCCCAGAGCAGTCCCATAGCGGTCCCAGAGCAGTCCCACAGCAGTCCCAGAGCGGTCCCAAAGCAGTCCCGGGGACTGCTTTTTGGGACTGCTTTGGTGTCAGGTTGGGTCTGGTCGGTACTGTATTCCTATGTAAAACTTGGGTCGGCCATTTTGGCCCCACCCTAGCCCCGGGGGTCATGATTTGAACAAACTTGAATCTACACTACCTGAGGATGATTCCACATGAGTTCCATCTTTCCTGGCCCAGTGGTTCTGGAGAAGAAGATTTTTAAAGATTTCTCCTATATATTCCTATGTAAAACTTGGGTCGGCCATTTTGGCCCCACCCTAGCCCCGGGGGTCATGATTTGAACAAAATTGAATCTACACTACCTGAGGGTGATTCCCCATGGGTTGCTGCTTTCCTGGCCCAGTGGTTCTGGAGAAGAAGATTTTTAAAGATTTCTCCTATATATTCCTATGTAAAACTTGGGTCGGCCATTTTGGCCCCACCCTAGCCCCGGGGATCATGATTTGAACAAACTTGAATCTACACTACCTGAGGATGATTCCACTTGAGTTCCATCTTTCCTGGCCCAGTGGTTCTGGAGAAGAAGATTTTTAAAGATTTCTCCTATATATTCCTATGTAAAACTTGGGTCGGCCATTTTGGCCCCACCCTAGCCCCGGGGGTCATGATTTGAACAAACTTGAATCTACACTACCTGAGGATGATTCCACATGAGTTCCATCTTTCCTGGCCCAGTGGTTCTGGAGAAGAAGATTTTTAAAGATTTCTCCTATATATTCCTATGTAAAACTTGGGTCGGCCATTTTGGCCCCATCCTAGCCCCGGGGGTCATGATTTGAACAAACTTGAATCTACACTACCTGAGGATGATTCCACATGAGTTCCATCTTTCCTGGCCCAGTGGTTCTGGAGAAGAAGATTTTTAAAGATTTTTCCTATATATTCCTATGTAAAACTTGGGTCGGCCATTTTGGCCCCACCCTAGCCCCGGGGGTCATGATTTGAACAAACTTGAATCTACACTACCTGAGGATGATTCCACATGAGTTTCATCTTTCCTGGCCCAGTGGTTCTGGAGAAGAAGATTTTTAAAGATTTCTCCTATATATTCCTATGTAAAACTTGGGTCGGCCATTTTGGCCCCACCCTAGCCCCGGGGGTCATGATTTGAACAAACTTGAATCTACACTACCTGAGGATGATTCCACATGAGTTCCATCTTTCCTGGCCCAGTGGTTCTGGAGAAGAAGATTTTTAAAGATTTCTCCTATATATTCCTATGTAAAACTTGGGTCGGCCATTTTGGCCCCATCCTAGCCCCGGGGGTCATGATTTGAACAAACTTGAATCTACACTACCTGAGGATGATTCCACATGAGTTCCATCTTTCCTGGCCCAGTGGTTCTGGAGAAGAAGATTTTTAAAGATTTTTCCTATATATTCCTTTGTAAAACTTGGGTCGGCCATTTTGGCCCCACCCTAGCCCCGGGGGTCATGATTTGAACAAACTTGAATCTACACTACCTGAGGATTATTCCACATGTGTTCCATCTTTCCTGGCCCAGTGGTTCTGGAGAAGAAGATTTTTAAAGATTTTTCCTATATATTCCTATGTAAAACTTGGGTCGGCCATTTTGGCCCCACCCTAGCCCCGGGGGTCATGATTTGAACAAACTTGAATCTACACTACCTGAGGATGATTCCACATGAGTTCCATCTTTCCTGGCCCAGTGGTTCTGGAGAAGAAGATTTTTAAAGATTTCTCCTATATATTCCTATGTAAAACTTGGGTCGGCCATTTTGGCCCCACCCTAGCCCCGGGGGTCATGATTTGAACAAACTTGAATCTACACTACCTGAGGATGATTCCACATGAGTTCCATCTTTCCTGGCCCAGTGGTTCTGGAGAAGAAGATTTTTAAAGATTTTTCCTATATATTCCTATGTAAAACTTGGGTCGGCCATTTTGGCCCCACCCTAGCCCCGGGGGTCATGATTTGAACAAACTTGAATCTACACTACCTGAGGATGATTCCACATGAGTTCCATCTTTCCTGGCCCAGTGGTTCTGGAGAAGAAGATTTTTAAAGATTTCTCCTATATATTCCTATGTAAAACTTGGGTCGGCCATTTTGGCCCCACCCTAGCCCCGGGGGTCATGATTTGAACAAACTTGAATCTACACTACCTGAGGATGATTCCACATGAGTTCCATCTTTCCTGGCCCAGTGGTTCTGGAGAAGAAGATTTTTAAAGATTTCTCCTAAATATTCCTATGTAAAACTTTGGTCGGCGATTTTGGCCCCACCCTAGCCCTGGGGGTCATGATTTGAACAAACCTGAATCTACACTACCAGAGGATGATTCCACATGAGTTCCATCTTTCCTGGCCCAGTGGTTCTGGAGAAGAAGATTTTTTTAAAATGCCATTAATTTTTCTCTTATTCATTATTATCTCCCCTTGGAAAAGGGCGTGGCCCTTCATTTGAACAAACTTGAATCCCCTTCACCCAAGGATACTTTGTGCCAAGTTTGATTGAAATTGGCCCAGCGGTTCTTGAGAAGAAGTCGAAAATGTGAAAAGTTTACAGACAGACGGACAGACGGACGCCGGACAAAATGTGATCAGAAAAGCTCACTTGAGCCTTCGCCTCAGGTGAGCTAAAAATTTAATGAAATACAATTATGTTAACAAGACCCAGGAGGAAATATCTTAATTGAATTATAAAATCTACTTTATCTACTGTGATATTACCTCTCTAGATTCCAGTACTGCTGTGACAATCTTTTCAAACGCTATGCTGACACCAACTCCGTGAAGAGAGGTCTCTGATACAGGTTGGGATAGTGGAGAATAAAATTGTTTGATCTGGGGAAAAAATAAAGATATCCAGAAAATGCTTTAATGTATAAATGCAAATTGAGTGATTTATAAAAAGAAAATTGGTATTTATATTTAGTGAGAAGTAATTTTAGTGATTCGATATTGTCAAGATAGAAGGTTATAACAACCGATATGGAAAAATGCAAAAATTGAATCGTTCATAAGAGATTCTGCTTATACGGTATCTAATGATGATAAAAATCTATCATCAAATACCCCCGGTACTAAAATCATAGATCAATTACATATAAGGAACATACCAAGTTGTCATAGCGACCGCCAGCAGCTAAGATGTCTGGTGAGTGGTGCTTTTTCTTTTTATTGTCCACCATGATTTGGAATATCATTCCTGAGAACTGATGTGTATTGTAAACAAATCCCAGAGACACTATTACCTACAAGCGTAGGAAAAACAAACACTTTTAATGAACAATACGGCTTTGTAAAATACTTCATGGACAAATGGAAGACTAGCTACATTATAAGTGAAAAATAAAAATTATGTCTGTATCCTAGGAATGCAATGTATTATTTACTATAGAAAATAAAACATGCAGCTAATTAAAGACATGGTGTAATGTGGTTCATACTTACTGGAAGCTTAAGGCCTAGCGTGTCCAGATTACTCAGAATTATCTCCAACTCATGTAGACCTTGCTTGGCTTTTGTTGCAGCCTAAAACATTTCACTGGATTAATATTCATATTACACAATATAAAATCATTGTTAATTCAAATGACAAATTATAATGTCTACCTACCTCCCCTCTGGTTTTGGTTATACATCTTAAGTAGCTGGCCACTTTGCCGTAAGTTCCCTCCATTTTCTAAGATTCCCAGCAGTGAAGACACGGTTTGGTCACTGAGACCAAGGGAGGTCAGAGGTTTGGATATGTTTTTATGATGACTGAGCATCTACAAATTAATTTTTTTTTAAAAATCATTCACTAAACCAATGATTTCTTTTTTTTTGCCACACTTAAGATCTTTTTCATGTACCAAATGAACAGAATCCAGAGAAAATCAAAGTACTGAAAGTACTGAAAAGCGGTTAGCATGCTTTCATCTAATATGTACCGAAAAAAGTGCATGAAATGATGATATTTAAGTATGCATATCTTTGTCCAATGTCATCAGAGAACAAAAAAACCCCCAGACATTCTGTTTTTTGTAATACTTTACTTAATAGTAAAACCAATAACATTCCAAACTGATGTCACAGATGGATGCAATCTAATTAAAATTAGATGTTCCGAACCCGCTACTGCTTCTCAAACATCTAACAACATCCTATTTGGGGTCATGTAAGAGTGAATCTTCGATTAGCCAAAGAAAATGGTTCCTCCGAAATCTTGGCTTATAGTTCAGATGGGTTTCTTGTTTTCACCACCGAACCAAAACACCCGAGGAGTTTTGTAGTAAACAAAATATGCATTGCAAAAGCTGTGTTATGTATGACGTGTGGGGTATCTTGTATAGTTTGTGCTCTTTCGTTTGCATTATTCACGTTCAGATGCCAGACTGCAGACTATACATGAAATTTATTCCAAAATTACTTTAATTCAACGTAAGACAGCATCAATAACGATGTTATGTAGCCGTGGAATTAATTTGAGAATTGTTTACCGAGGCTTGAATCTACATGGCCAAAGTGTTTGTGTTTACTAGTATATGTATTCATAATCGAAAGGTCGCTCTGATGTGACCCCGAATGGGATGTTAGATGTTTGAGAAGCGGTAGCGGATTTGGAACATTTACTAGTAAATAAATTTTAATTAGATTAAAATGCATGTTTGAAATTTAAACATGAGATTTCTTCAGTTTGAAAGACAGGAAGTGCATTTCTAAAAGTTCTCTCTTGGTGGCATCCAATCTTTCTCTGGATGAAAACAATTATGTTGATGTTGAAAACTTAATTGTCTTTCATGCTCTATTGAATCTGAAGTTAGGTAATTGTAAAGTCTACTATAGCAAACAACTAAAAAAAATGACAAATTAAATTCTTTAGATTAATGGATTTGAAGTAGTATAGATCTACAGCTGCCTAGTCAGAGAAAAAAGGATGGCTGAGCAGAGACTTTGTAAATGAATTGATATCAGAGAGCTCCAGATGTGTAGGCTCACTGCGGGTGTAACCTGTCAACGAGGGATGCTTACTTCTTCTAGGCAACGGATCCCATCTCTTGAACTTTCAGGAATCAGCTTTTCATCTTAAATCGATCATTGATCATTGTGTATTTTGATACAGATACTGGATACTTCCGTTTAGTAATATTATGAACTACTACTTCTACGGGAAGACTGCGAGTATACAAGATTATCAAGCTTTATGAAATGTACTTTATTGACTTTTCAAACAAGTAAATGTTCGAATAAAGTAAATGGTATATGAGAATCATTTAAAAGAAGTCTTGCACAATAATGTATTTTTGCCATATACTCTTTATGCAATATTGTTCTCAAATAAAACATGTGAAAGGAAAGTTGTCTAATCAATCAATACTAGTATTTAAAAATTCAAATGTATACTAAAAGTCAGTGTAACTTAAGAAGTTATGTGTCACTTTCTTCAATATGTCGGATAAACAATATACACTGATTTCTTTTCTAACAATGTGCCTCTAAACACCTGTATTTTAATTTAATTCTTCTTAAACACTCAAAATAATAATCGACAAATTGGACAAATTCAAATTTAAAAAGTATTTTCTCAGCTAATAATACGTTCCTTAGGAATTGATCAAATTTTCAAAACTTATAAATAAGCATTAAGTATATATTTTAAATTTTTGCTAATTGCCAAGATTTTTCATACCTTATTCTTCTGTGAATAATAATATCGGTTGATTTTTAGAAGAGAATCACAATGCCGATTAAAATTAATATATATTTATCCATTTTTTTTTCAAAATTAATTTTACTACTTTAAGTGCCCCATTATTTTTTTTCAAAACTAAAAGTAAGTGATCCCTTATGATCGTTTGTCATAAATTATCAAAGACGGAGTAGAGAATTTACCCCTGGGAGCAGAGCTTTTATAATCTGTTTATTAGACAGAGAAGAAAACAAACGTTTCATTGTGGAGGTAATCTTATTGTTTCATAAAAACGTTACAAAAATGTAAAACGTACAGATGTATTCGTGTTTTTATAAAAGCGTTTTTCAGGTATTACTTAACTTAATAAATGGTGTTTCTTAATACTTTGGCAAGGAAAATCAACTGATCGAGAGATTTGCTGATGTTTTCTGCAGTTGTAATAACCTTCAACCTGCTGTATAATTAACCGTATCGTTCAACTTTCAAAAATAAACTAGCAGTCGCCATAAATCGCGATCGCACCATGTAGATGTAAATAAGGACCAAATTCTCAGTTCTTTGAAGTTAAGCGTTTTAGTATTGTCAAAAACGTCATTGGTAAATACTACTAATAAGAATTCGATATAATCGTTATAATAGCCACTCTTCATACACAGCTTATAGTCAATCTCTCACCAGGGGGCGTATTTTCGAACAGTATACAAATCATAGGAAGCGCTTTGCTGAAGCCATTGTCGATGGTACGCCTTGTGGAAGTTTCCGGTTTGGGTTGCAGAAGGATAAGGTTACGTGCCATAAAGCGACGTCAAAGGGAGGCCTTATAGAAGTTTCCGGTTTTTGGAGGCCCATGCCATAAAGCGGTTAGCTAGCTAACCGCTTAAAAAGGAAGAAAGCAATGCCCATGAATCAATTTTGCCTAATACATATGTAGTAGAAAATTCTCCACGGCTGAGAGTTAAATGTTTGAGAAAAACCTCTAACCTTTACCCCTGGGGAATGTGAAAAAGTCTGGGCTGGTCCCTGGTACACCACAATGTTGTAAAATGGCATGTAGTATCATCACATGGTTGACTTTTATGTAGTAATTTCTTTGCTGAAATTAACAAAGAATGAAGCTTTAACATATTTTTGTCAGACACAACTTAACGGCAATAATAAAGCCCTTTTTGTTTTATTGCCCCTCCTGAAAACATTAGTTTTAGATATTGGAGAGGGCTACATTATTGCAGCTAGTCACAAATATGAAATAGAATTTAAAGCTGGTTTTTGTTACCTGTAAAACTGGAAATTCAAAAATAATTTCTTGTACAAGAAGCACCACCTCAGCATCAGGGGTAGGCTAAAATTATGAACAAACAACAAATTACATCTACACCTTACCACATAAACCATAATCATCAACAAAAATCACACTCAAACCTCTGTCTTCATCAAGGTGAGTTTGTTAATTCTCATCAATATTTAATGAAACCAACTATCCAATAAAAGCACAAACTGCCAGTTAAATCAAATCTGCAATCTATTTTTTTGGGCTCTGTTACTTGATGTATCAATTGTTTGGATTAAGTCATGTAAACAGTCAAGTGGCAAGGAGGTGGACTAAAAAC